TTCTTTCTTTTATTATGTCTAGCTAAGTTAATTATGTCAAGGTGAAAAGGTTACACTAATGGTGTGAGAATAAGTATAATGTAAACTTAATATGGACTTTAATGTTTGATACTAACATGTTTTATATTTGTTATCGTGTTCACTCTTTAATACTTTGCTTGTTAAATGACTAATCTTGATTTATGTTGTATAACACTTGGTACAACAAATCCTTGGCACTTTCATAGCCCATAATGTATGGTATAACCGACACCTGAGCTATGAAAGGAACTTGATTTGTTGTTAACATAAGTTATAATCATGAATACTTGACGAGATTTACAAGTACTAGCATTAATTGAATAAGATGACTAATGTAATCATGTTAACAATATATAATATGATTGGAACCTCCTTTGTGTGTGGTTTCCAATTCAATAATAAGAGTTTATACTATACTTGTTTGATATACCATGAGTGGAACCTCTAACCTTGACATTTGTTATTATTATTGTTTAATCCTTACATTAATTTTCCATCTCCAAGTTCTTATCATCTTCTTCTTCTTCGCTTTCTTTATTATTATTATTATTATTATTATTATTATTATTACTACTACTACTACTACTATCATTATTATTATTATTATTATTATTATTATTATTATTGTTATTATTATTATTGTTGTTATTGTTATTGTTATTGTTGTTGTATTATTGTTATTTATAATTTGTACAATTAACCTCCCTGTGGTTCGACCCCGGTCTTGCCGGGTTATTTATTACTTCGACACTCCTGCACTTGGGAGAAGACATCAACCTTTTAGTCGTGTCAATAACCTTTTCACTTTGACATAATAAACTTAGCTAAATATAATGAAAGAGAGAAACATAAATAAACAAGATAAGAACATAAATAAGATAAAAGTTAACTAAGTAAAGGAAAAGAAATGAAAGGCATAAATAAGAAATTAATAAAAGCACAACTAGCATGATCTTGATCTGGAAACCAAGATGCTTAAATGCATGACAAATGCCTCATTCTACAGACCAAAAGTTAAAAACTATTGATTTGATGACTAATTGATGAGTGGGTGGCCACATCTTGAGTTAGTGACAATTCTTATCTTTTTATATGAATAAATGTCAGTGATAACGTCAGAATTTAAACTAGACTTCCACATGAAAGTTCTAGGAAATTGTCTAAGATTTTCAGGAAAAAAAATTTGAGGTCATTTGGACTTTTAGAACTCAAGATATGGGCTAAACATTGAATAATATCTATGCTGCAAGACAGATTCGAACTTCTACGTTGTTGCTAAGTTTTGGGCTTCTAAATAGCAGAATGAGTCTTGACTTCCCATGAAAGTTTTAGGCCCATGTCTTAATTTTCCTTCCATATAAAGCAGATCTAAATCTGAGATCTACAGCTCTAGATATGACCCAATTACCGAACAGTATTCTAGTTTGGACTACACCAGCATCTCTTTTCTAAGTTTGGCTCTCTCTTTGTCCATTCAATTTTAATACTTCAACTCTTTAATCAATCTTTTTATCTATGTGATAGGCCTGCATTTAGGATGAACATTTACCATAAATTAAAAGTATCTTATGGTATCAGACTTTTTATTATAAAACATGTTTTAGTTAAGGAGTTATTGATACTTCAAGTGCAAAATGATGATATAAAACCATGATAAAAATGCACTTTTAAGTACTAATCA